TTTTTGTTTAAAATTACAGTGTATTTTATAGATATACTGTGGGGTTTTTAGTTGCAATGGTGGAGGGTTTTTATTAAGTTCGTGAATCTGGTTTCCAATTTTCTTCCTGAATAGATATTGCCCGTTATTTCATAAATGACGTTGGTATTGTGTGATTCTATGCCATTTTTACTTAGTAATGATTTTTTGAGTGAATGTGAAGTTAACAAGAATTTTATGTTTAATGCCAATTTTTCTCCAAGTGTTGATTATTTTTGAGCTGATTTCAATGATAAATGGTAAACTGCAGTGTAATGTTGTGTCAATTTTGTTCGTGCATTGAGTTTAAGGTTTTTATTCTGGTGGTTGTGTGAAATTGTTTTGACAATAGCTGGTGGAAATTTATTTATAAAAGAATGTAGTTAGTTGAACAATGTCCTGAAGCTGTGTGATAAGGTTTTTTTTAGTATATTATTTGTTTGTTTGTATTCAGGTGCGGAATTCCATGGGATGTAAAGGCCTATGTGAGCGAATTTTCGGTGAATTATGGTTTTGAACTGTTTGTCGATCTGATAATGTTGAGGTTAACAAAATATAACTGCTTATTATTTTCGTGTTTATTGGTGAATTTAATTTAAAGGTGAATGGAGTTTATGTGTTCAAAGTGTGTATGTATTCGGTAGAAATAAAAACAGCAAAAGTGTCATCAACATAACTGTGCCAGTATAGGAGAGGATAACGCTCAGTTTGTATGGCTTCTGTTTCGATCTGGATCATAAATATGTTGACGAGAACAAGTGAAACAGGATTGCCCATGCTTACACCACATGTTTAAGAACGTTTTTTTTTTGTTGTTGTTGAAAATGAAGTTAGTTTTGGTTGTTGTGAATTCCAAGAGGGAAACAAAAAAGTGTACTGAGGATGTAAATTTTAGGATTAGGATCATTAAGGTAGAGATCAAGTGCAATATTACAAGTTTTTTTTGACAGGAACTTCGGTGAAAAGTGACACAACGTCAAAGCTAGCCATTAACGCTTTATGGTTTAGTTGGTTTAATGTGTTTCTGAAATTAAAGACATTTAAAAAAAGAATATGTAGATATTATACACGATGTGAGGGCCCAGGCTATGTATTTACTAAGATTATAGTTAAACGAGTCATAAGTGGGTAGTATAGGTCTTATGGGATAATTCCGTGACCTCTTTCTCCCATACTGTATATATATATATTCTTGTGTCTATGTAAACTACTTGTACCTGATGATGACATAATGTTGTCGAAACGTTGTACATTTACAATAAATTTTTATTCATTGCCCATTGATGCTATCTACAAATGTATTTATTCTTTCTAAAAAGCGGATTGCTCGTCATCAAACTTAACTACTTCAGAGTGAGCTTTCTTTCAATTTCATAGAAGGGCGCTAGAGAAGACGTTAAAAATTTAATCTCTTATACTGTTACATATTTTGGAATGTTATTTGATATTGATATTATCATTTGTATTAATTTAGGATAAATAACAAAAGAATAACTAGATTTACTAAGATTGATAAATAAGAATAGCAGGGTAAAAGTTTTAAGTTAGATCTTAGTGGTGTAACCTGTACTACAGCATTAGATTAGGCTTAGGGCGTGAACGGTACTTTAGGCTTAGCTATAATTCAGCTTACTGTTAAATCATAAAACAGGTTTAATACATTGTTTTATTAAACAAATATAATCTAAAAACTAGTTGATTGTCTCTTCGTGTTTTACGTATTAACTTGTTTACTTGACTTTAAATCCATTAGTTTAAATTCATCTTATAGGTAGGTTATAAATCAGGCTAAATAGATTGTATAAACATATTTCGCATGACGTCATGGATCCGGGCAATTATTTCTCTATGTGACCATCTTTTAGGTCACGCTACAGTGCAACACCCGTTGATTAATGCACACATTTCATTATACCTGCTTCGGTAAATTTCAGCGAGGTTATTATAATGGTTAATACCTGTAGTGTTGTAAAATGTCACAATAGGTCAGATCGAGATAAAAAACTTGCAGTTCTGAAAAATCAGGATGATGAAATCAGAGATTTGACAGAGAAGCAAAGACGATTGTGAATAGCTCTTTTGAATAGGGCAGATTTTGAGGAGTCGAAACATACGAAGATGTGTAGGGACCACTTTATTTCTGGTAATCATTTATGATATAAAATACATTCAAAGAGAGTGGGATGAAGCCAAAAATATACGACTTATATAGGCTAATGTATGCATGTATGTATATAGGGTGGTGGTGGTGGAAGAGTTCTTCTAACTGCAGTCCTCTTTGCGTTTTTTTCACAATTTCCGAAGATATTCAGGGGAGTATATATCGTCAGTAGTTTTTATATTATGACTGATTATTATGATTTACAATCATGATAAATTAGGTAATGTTCACTTGGAGTTGTGTTGTTCATGTCAAACAGGCACAGTTGCTGTTGTCTGTGGTAGATTTTCATGATTTATTCAATAATTAGAATTCGATCTGTGTAATTATGCAACGTAATTTTATATTTATTATACAATCAGTGAATGAATTTCCTACCTTTATTGACATACTTAGATTTATATTCATATTCTTTAATGGTTTATATCTTTTCCGTTTTAGATAAACCTTTTGGTTTGTATGATTCCACAAACCCAGACTGGGCACCATCTGTGGCCATGATTACTTTCCAGTTTCTTGGTCAAAGCAGATGCAAAAGAAAGCAAGATAGGAGGCAAAAAAAGCAACATGAGGCTGCTGATGAATTGCTATTGTTATCAACTGCATCGTTACTTGACGGTATGATAGATACACATTGGATCGAAGTTCCCGCGTTAGAGGAAAAAAAATCACTGTATGCAATTTCCTTCCTATTGGAGCTTTAGAAATAAATCATTCCAAAGAACAAGCAACAAAGAGCCCAGACATTAATAATCTTGTGGTGGAAGAACTAAATAGATTAACTTTATAAAATTGGAAATTAAAACAGGATCTTAATGAAAGTGAAATTTCTCCAGAGTCGTTCAGCGGTAATGGTGAAAACGTAAAGTATTACACAGGCCTTACATCTTTTTTAACCTTGATGGTGGTGTTTAATTTGGTAGAACCTTTTGTAAGTGAAGCTAGTAGATCCAACTTAACTAAATTTCAGAAATGTATGATGGTTTTAATGAAATTGCGACTGAATCTACCAGCACAGAACATTGTCTACTGATTTAATACCTCCTAAGCAACAGTTTCTCGAACATTTTAATCTGTTCTTCATGTTATGCATAAAAGAATGAAAGTTTTAATTTACTGGCCTGAAAGGGAAGAACTGTAAAACTATGCCCATGGAATTTAGAAAATATTTTGGACAGAAAGTCGCCGTCATTATTGATTGTTTTAAAGTATCTACTGAAATACCTTCTAACTTATTAGCAAGAACTAGCACATGGTATTTTTATAAACACCACAATACAGTTAAGTTTTTAATTGGTGTAAGTCCACAAGGAACAATGTCATACTTGTATCAAACTTGGAGTTGGAGGGTTAGTGATAAATCCATTACTGAACATTTTGGTTTCTTAGATAAACTTCTACCTAGTGATGTGATTTTGGCAGATCGCGCATTTGATATACAGGATAGTGTAACACATGAAATGTGCCGAAGCAAAGATTCCTGCATTTACAAAGGGAAAATTTCAGTTATCGCACCAAGAAATTGAACAGATTCAAAAAATTGCTCATCTGTGAATACAAGTGGAATGGCTTATTGGACTTCTTAGGAGCAAATATACAATTTTGATACTATACCTATAAATTATCTTCAGAGTGAAGATGCCACTCCTGTGATAGATAAAATTCCTGTACAATCTACACATCCTTCAGTAGATCTGTGACATTTCCTGATTGGCTAAAGGACATGCCAATCAGTGATTGCCTT